AACGCAACAGTCTAATCTTACCTGTCTTTACATAAATAACTAATGCCCCTTTTCCATTAGTACCGGTACGGGCCGACTGGACCCTACTTGGCCCGGTTCTGAGGCTTTTCCATTAGTACCGGTACTTAGCACCTGTTACTATTTTCAGTACCCTTGACTCTGTGGTTCTAACCTCTACTCCAGTGGCTGTAACACCTCATCTGACAGTGACAAGAAGCCAGGTTAGACAGCTGGAGGAAAACAACTGAACAAGGATGCAGGTCCTATTAGCACCCAGGTCCTATAAAGTGCTGATCATCCTAGCTGTCCTGCAGGGCATCTTCAACATTGGTCAGCTGCAGGAAAAGGTGCTGGCACTTTGGAAAACTTCCTGCCTTGCGCTGATACTGAGGACCAGTTTCAGACCAGTTTTCTATATTTCTGCATCAATCTGACCTAAAACATAATCAGATTTTCACACAAGTTCTGAAAGTAGATAAAGAGAACCATCCATCCATCCATTATCTTTACCTGCTTATTCCATTTTGGTTCACGGGGTTCGCTGGTGCCCATGTCCAGCAATCACTGTGCGAGGGGCGGGGTACACCCTGGACAGGTCGCAAGTCCATCACAGGGCCACATAGAGAAAAACGAGACAAACAAACATTCAGTCTCTCACTCACACCTAGGGACAATTTAGAGTTACCAATCAGCCTAACATGCATGTTTTTGGTCTGTGGGAGGAAACCGGAGCACCTGGAGAAAACCCACGCATGCACGGAGAGAACATGCAAACTCCACCCAGAAAGGCCCCTGGACCGGGGTTTGAACCAAGGACCTGCTCACTGAGAGGCAGCAGCTCTACCAGTTGCGCCACCGTGCTGCATAAAGAGAACCCAGTTAAACAAATGAGACAGAAATGGTATTGTCAGTATTTGCCCTCATCATGATCAATAACATTCCTGTGAGAACATTCTGCAATGTCCTTCTGCTCATGTTTGTTATGTGTGATATTAACTGTCCCATGTAGTCACTCTTACTGTGACTAGTCAGTGCGGAACAGAAAGAACTGGTTGTTTTCGATCCTCAAGGGTTGATTGATGGTGACGTGTCTTCAAGCAGAGTCCTTGACTCAGATCCACTCCTTGTCTGCAGCGAACCATTGGATGACAGCTCGGACATGGAGGGAGGAGTTGAGGGCTGGGCGGGAGGTTTCTATAGTTTTCTATAAAACTAACGTGTCTGGTTCAGGAGGTTAGAGCAGGTCAGTGTTTCACACAGATGAGAGCACTGATAACAGTGTCGTCTTGATATTGCATGTTCTGTGAATTCTGCACTGCTCTCCAAAGCTTTGTAAATAAATTTGATGAACTACACCCTGGTCTGTTTTTAAGAATCTCCTTTTTTCCATGACAGGTATACTTGTTCATTTATTTATTGAGGAAAATTTTCCAATTGGATCTTAATTTGTTTAACTGGGTTCTCTTTATCTACTTTAAGGACTGGTGTGAAAATCTGATGATGTTTTAGGTCACATTGATGCAGAAATAAAGAACATTTTAAAGGGTTCTCAAACTTTCAAGCACCACGATATCTGCTGCAGCATGATGGATGGTGGTGTAGGCTCTGCTAGAACCATGACCTTTGATTTTTCCAGAGTCCTCAACCCCATCTAGCCTTCTTTAGTGACTGTAAAGCCACTCAGAGTGGGTAAATGGACTGCACTTATATAGGGCCTTTCCAGCTAGGCTGTTCAAAGCATTTTACAACACATCCTGTGACCTCATTTACCCTTCACACACATTCAGACAGCACTCTACTACACATCCACAAGATAATCTGAATTAATAATTCTGTAGAGTCTAATCAGAGCTTTAGCTCACATTCATACACTGATGGGGCACAATGGAGGCAACGAGGGGGCACCACAGCTCTGTGGTCCATCCATCCAAAATTCTCCATGCTACTTCTGAACAAGGAGGAAAAAATAAATCCAACTATACAAACCCTGTTTATTGACACAAAAGAAGAATTTGTATATCTTGGGAGTTAAAATCACGCCAGACATCAAAACTATTGTAGCAACAAATTACGACCCTCTGATTAATGAAGTGAAGGAGTCTCTAAATAAATGGATGATAATGTCCATATCAGTGACTGGTTGTATAAACATGATCAAAATGAACATATTACCAACATTTTATATCTGTTTCAGTCACTTCTTTACCTCTTCTAAAATGATTCTTTGATGAGTAAAACAGTATTTTTAACAGATTAATTTGGAATAATAAAAATCCCAGATTAAGACTTTGCTTGTTGTATAAGAGAGGGGGGTTACAACTCCCTAATGTTAAATTGTATTATTGGTCTGCACAGTTGTGCTCTGCCATGTTCTACTTTTCTAATGAGACACCTCCAGCCTGGGTAAAAAATTAATAAACATCAGTAACAATTAACAAAGTCCATGCTCAATAATCCAGGTATACAATCCAACATTTTTCAGTCAGGTCATCTGGACAGTTTCTTTTTCATTTTTTGCTGAAACGTTTCGCCTTCGATCCGGAAGGCTTCATCAGTGAAGGAAACACACAACACAAAACTGATTCTTCCCCCAACTGGTTTGTTCCAAAGTGGAACAAACCAGTTCTGCTTGTGATAAGATGGTCTCTTTGGTACGCCCCCTCCTCCATTGCCAGCCCTCTTCCTTGCTGACAGTCATGTCAAACTGTTTGAAAGCAACAAAGTCCACTTTGGACTTTGTTGTTTTCAAAATGTTATACACAACTTACTCCACCATCACTACACATCACTACTGTAAATACGTATATTATGTGTACTCTGCCATCGTTGCACCACCTGTCTTAACTTCCACTCATCAGATGCTGTTAATTGCCATTTATCATAAGTGTGTGCTTGCTCAGGATGGGAGACTGCAACAAAGCCAAGATTCAACTTGTCTGCTGGCCTCCTTAGATAGAGAACTTTTCTAATTGGCTTTTATGTATGTGAATGTTCCTGTAAAGTGCCCTGAGACAACTTTGTTTTGATTTGGCGCTATATAAATAAACTGAATTGAATTGAATAAAATCTTGTTCTCTGTGAATGATCACCTTGAAAAAGGTGATGCTAACAATGGGATTAACCTGTCTAAATAAAGGTTGAATGAAAGCTACATTGCTCAAGTCTGCCATAACTACTTTGGTAAGGGAGTGGTGGCGCAGAGGTTAGAGAAGGTGGGCCTGTGATCGGAAGATCGCTGGTTCACGCCCCGGAACCGACAACATCAAAAAATGTGGGTGGGGTAGGTGAAGCACCCACACTTGCCCCCACCCTCATTTGCCCCACCCTGGGCCCATCTGCTCCCTAAACAAGTCTCTCTTGAAAATAAGTTCTCGTTGCTCAATGAGACTACCTGTATAAATAAAGGCTAAATGAAAAAATATATATATGGTAACACACAACTAAAGCTGTCACTGGACAGCCTGTGGTGAAGGTGTGCCTCTGTATATCACCCATTCTACATCAAAAATGTGATGCGTTAATTTTTCTGTCAGTAATTAATCAAACTCATCCTGGAGAACATCTGATTGAGCTCAGCCTTCTCTCCTGACAGTGAAGTCCTAACCAATGAGAAATCTCTTTCAAACAGGTTTCTGCCTGGATACATACATTTAAAGGAATCTGATTAGATAACTGTTTCCATGAATTAAAAAAGTTTCTTGTTCGGATTAGTTAACAGAAAACAAGATAAATTTACCCCACACCCACAAAAAACTACATTGAAAATATAATTTTTTTATAACTTAAATAGTAGTTTATTTTTATGTATCATTTTATATGTGCAGATAAGTGTTTCTCTGAGGTAGGCCCTGAGAGTTCAGTAAGCTCAGTAAGAGTTTTACATTCTGCAGCGTAGCAGGGAAACTTTACATCTCAGCGTAGGATCAGTGATTTATCTGTTCATTGGACTGGCACCTGGTTTAAAGCCATGTTCAAGCCATCATGTTCACAAAATGTTTTCTGCCAGGTAGAGAAGCACTTTTAATATCTGCTGGACAGCTGTGAGGGGATCCACTGAAAAGAGCTTTGACTTGCAAATGCCAGGATCACAGAGTTGTAATGAATGAGCTCTGAAGCTAAACCTTACATGTCTCACATGTAAACCTTACATGCTAAACTTACATGTCACGTTAACGACCATTTGAATAAGACTCCCCGCATTTGTACTCAAGCTAACCAGATGTATGCATTTGTCATAGCAAAGGCTGAATTATTCATGCATCGTAACAAAATGAAAAGCTTTAACTGTGAGCACAGTACCTCTAGCTAACAGCCGAAAGAAAAAAAACATTCATAGTACAGGTCAGCCTGTTCAAGTAAGTAAATCTTATCGATTTCTTCATTTGTCAGCAACATTTTCTTCATGCAGCTGAGGTGGATTTAAAAGCCCAGCTGGAGGGACTCCCTGTTTCCACAGCTGCTGTTTCAGGCAGACCACTGGCTCCACTGGGCTCCATTCTGGGTTGGTTGTGAGGCTAAAATAAGATTAGCTTGACTGACACAGGACACAGTGCTTTGTTTTAGTCATTTACTTTTAAAGTTTGGAAACACTGAAATGTGAGGAAAGGGCCTCTGGTCAAGACGTTGCCCAGTTTTCTCTCTAAACCCGCACCTAAATCTGGTGCATTCCAAATGTGATGAAAACAGTCTGAGTAATCCGCTGTTTACCTTGGAACAAAAAGAGAGTGTGTGTGTGTGTGTGTGTGTGTGAATGTGTGTGTGTGTGTGTGTGTGATGTGTGTGTGTGTGTGTGTGTGTGTGTACGGCTAATCTGCTCCCTCCTCTAGGTGGAAGTGGGGGGGAGGTGTAGATAGATAGATAGATAGATAGATAGATAGATAGATAGATAGATAG